ATTGTTGGTGCATTCAAATTGGCTACAGGTGTAGAGTATCTGACAGACCATTTTCAGGAGCAGGAATTCCAAAAGACCATCTTACCCTGTCTTGGCAGAGTTCAGAAGTCACTTTTCCTTGTGTCCCACTTGTCCAGAAGGACAGCATTCGTATTGTCAGCAGTTGAGGCAAGGGCAGTTCTTTGCCCAATAGGCCATTTTGTGCCAAGAAGACAAACTTCCAACTGGAAATGTCTTAGAATCCCAACGTTCTCTTGGGATCAAATTGGTGCTGCCAGGAGCAATTGTGTCTCACATCAACAGAATTCTAAGTTATTTAAATGCCATATTCTCTAGGTCTAAGAAGTGTTTGAAGATTACCTGTCCATCTGACCTATGTATCTGTAAATCTAGATAACCTAACTATCATAACTATAGAGATGACAAGCATAGGTGACTATAAATCTATAAGTCTTATCTACCGAAATAACTTAAGGCTTCATGTAAACAAGGTAAACAGTCTATAAGCAAATGTATGGTAAAGGATGATGACTTCAAAACTGTGACAATATGATCCTGCCCAGGACTTCCCTTCTGGACCAGAGAGAGAGAGCTCCCATCCTGCCCCGGACTTCCCTTCTGGATGAGAGAGAGCTCCCATTCTGCCCTGGTCTTCCCTTTTGGACAGGAGTGCCAATCCTGCCCTGGACTTCCTATCTGAACAAGAGCTTCCATCTGCCCTGGAGTTCCCATTGGGACAAGAGAGCTCCCATCTGGACAAGAAAGAGAGACTTCATTAATCTGCCAGCTCTGTCTGAACCAAGTGCACTGATATGACCAAGAAGGAACCACAAGGAGATGGGCAGACATCAAGGCAGAAGTGCATACAACAAAATGAAGAGCAATACAGCATCACCAGAACCTAGCCCTCCTCCAACATCTAGACCTGAACATTAAAAATTAGAAGAAGCAGAAGAAAACAGCCTTATGAATAACATCTTGAAGAACGTAGAGGCTTGTGTAGAGGAAAAGACAAAAAAAATGGGAAGAACACTATAAGCAACTAGAGGAAAGGGCAAACAAATTAGAAGAAAACAATAAAGTCCTGGAAGAAAACAATAAACTCCTGGAAGAAAACAATAAAGTACTGGAAGAAAACAATAAAGTACTGAAAGAAAATCATGAAAAAGCAATGAAAGAAATAAAGGAAACAGTCCAAGACCTGAAAAGGGAAATAGAAAAAATGAAGAAGACACAAACAGAGGGA